CACTTGATTAAAACAAAATAACATCCCATACATGTAGCATGTGATGAACAAAACTATTACCGTCATACACATTATTTATTTTGTGCAATTAAAAAACAATTAAAGCAAAAATATGCTTAAGCGTGCACGCTTTTTAATGTACTTACAGGTACGTGACAACTTTGGAACTACATGTACAGTATTCATATTACAGGAAACTACATGCATATCATAACTAAAGAGTTATACGTACATGTTATGATACAAGTGAATACCAATCTATTCAAATCAGAGCATTATATGTCTAGGGAGTACTATCAAGTGACTTGAATGATGCGAGCATGCTATCACAATGACAGTAGACAGACGATATTACAACTATTAGATTAAAAATCATGATACAAGATCAAGCTACAATGTTAGCAAATAGATGAAGTAGGTGTATCACTTGTTATTCACAAACGACATATGCCATGTATACATAGCACACATACATGGCATATATATGTACATGTACATGTGTGTAAACATGCATACAGTACTGTATGCTCTGTACAGAATAAAAGTTTACAAACTTTTTAAAAAATCAATAGATAATTAATTTCTAAAAATATAAAGCACCTATTGCTATAATCCCATACCATTAAAAAGTAAAATTTTCTGGGAGTAAAAAATTGAGATAAAAACATTACGGTACATTGTATGTATCGTATTTGCATTATAACGTTACAATCTTATGTACACAAAAAAACAGAAAGTATACCTTCTGTTTTTCTGAAAGAAAAACCTTGACAAGTATCTATATAAGCAAGCTTCTGCTATCTGTATTACACAATACAGTAAACAAGTTAACAACTAGTGATGGCTAGTCAGTCAACAGGACTCAATGCTGCATCAAGGACCCCATTAGGTAAGAAAGAAACACTTGTGTTATCATAATTATTATTAGCTACAACAGGACTGGAACATCTTGACATTGTGCTCAAAGCATGTAAAGGATGCAGTGCTGATTGGGAAAGACTAGGACTGACATTAGGCCTCCATAATGACACAATAAAAGAGATTGAGAGGGATAAAAATAAATGCACTGAGCAAATGAGAGTAATGCTGTCAGAGTGGCTGAAAGGGAATTACGAGGTTTCAAACAACTATCCAGAACCATCCCAACATTCACTGTGTATTGCAGTAGCTGGGATTGACAGAAGCCTGGCAGAAACTATAAGCAATGATCCATCATTCAGTGACATTAATAATATACAAGGTAACAGAAGAGTAGTTTCTTTGTAACAAGTCAGTAACACAAAATTAGAGTAATAAGTTTAGTACATTAAAACTTTACACAATGTGCTATAATAATGAACCATAGTGTGCTACAAGTAGCATGCAATTCCAATATCAAGTGACTACATGCATACTAGTGATGCAATTAGAAACAGTTGACGTTTTTCTACGTTGCAGTCTATTGTTTTGTAAATAAATCTTGAAAGTTACATACATAAATGACACATAGAATTTAAACGGAAAATGACAAACAAGAATGTGAAAATTATGTTGCCAAAACATTGTTTATAAATATATCTCCATCTTTGGCATGCCGCAAGTAGGAAACATAATATTTTGAAATTTAGTGCTACAGCAACTGGTAATACAAAATTTTGCTAGTACATACATGCATGATCTATTGATAATTTGATGTACCTTAAATGTTTTGCAAATATTAATTTTATGATACACAAAATACTGAACATAAAATTATTTTATTTTTTACTTTCATAAATAACAGATTAATTATGATATGTGATACTATAGGATCCAATAACAGCAGACCTCTATACACAACACAAGAATTGATGCAGTTCTGTACTTGCACCCAATGTGAACTAGAGACAATAATCACCACAGGCTGCCCTCAAAGAAGAGAAGACTTCCATCCTCTTAACATCAAACGACTTTCACAAAAACAGAGGGATGTATACTTGTGTCACGCAATAACAGAAATACGAGAGGTCAAGAAAGAATGGACCCGCGCTTACATCCGAATCACACAATCAATATCAAGAAATACTGAGATATCAGTGTCTTACTTAAAAACCATCATAACAACACTGGATTGGTTTGGAGCAGCAAAAGATAAAAGCCCTCGTCTCCAGCAATTGAATGAGTGCCAAGACAAGGAAAGCATTTTTGAAGTGTATGCACAAATATGCTCATGGCTGAACCATCATCCTCTAGGAGAAATAGTTCATGAATGTGGAACAGAAAATGAGAAACAAGAATATGAAAAATACATTGCCAAAAAAGAACGATTCCTACGTCACTCAATAACATTTTTCACTGACTTGTGCAGTCAGGATCTTGGAGGAGCAGTCACTGAAGTAAAACTGTTTCGCTTCAAATTAGACACGGAGCTAAGCCATGATGTGCTGGATGGTACCATCCTCCCATTCCTTCAAGGAGAAGTAGCCAAACTTCTCAACATATCTCAAATGAATTTCTACATTTTGTCGCTTAGAGAGGGCTGCCTTGAAATTGTTTTCTCGATTCCTGAAATTACATATAACAAATACGTTCCGCTGACACTCGATCGCTCAAGGGCATTGGAAAACTTGACTAATGAGCCAGTAGGACTGAAATTCAAATCAATGTATTACTCAGATGTAGATGTTCATGTAAGTCAGTAGAGAATCGTCATAAAATTAATATAATTATTTATAATAGACTTTGAGTGCTGATTCTGATGAGCAAGGCATATCATTGACTGATACCAACGGTTAGATACATGCACTAAAGTAATGACTCCTTACTATAACAATTTAACATACTGTGTACTACATGTACACTGTACATGTATACTCTAAAGATTGTTTCCAATACTATTAAAAGAACAGGAATGCATTGAAAAGTGTTAAATATACATGTACATCAGATAATCACAGCATCAATCATAGTATTAACACTTAAATCTTAATATCTTTGTAAAACAAATTATCAGTTACCCAACAGATAAAATAAAAGTGCTATCTTTACCAGTGAATCACACAGAAAGGGTGAGCAGGAGAGAGTGAAATGTGAGCATCATTACGCCTGTGAGCTGGCATAGTGATGTTAACATCATTAAGTGGCAGCTAGCCACTGTTACTATTATACATGTAAATATGTACATCTACATGTAAATGCACACATTATTAAAGAACAGAACATAAACAAAGGTACATGTATTTTGTACAGTAAACATTTATAAAAGGCTACATGTAAGCTTTGTACAAGCGCCAGTAAAGAAGGACATAGTCATTGCATTTTGATACTATTCAATACTAAACAATAGTTACTGATTCAATACTAAACCATAGTTACTGTGTAATATTTTTCGTCTTCAAAGGTTGCAATTCAGTTAACTCCCTTACGGTTAATTTTTCTTTATGCCTAATATAGAAATGATACACAATAGCTATCAACAATATAAAACATGTTTCGATTACTCCTTAATTGAAAATAACATCTGATGCTTCGTTGACAACAAGTGCATAAGCTTGTATTAAATAAGCAATAACATGCATATAATGCACTTCCCCTACTCATGCATCAAATAGACAAGTGCAAAAATTTCAAACATGCAGCCAATATATGCCACCATACAGTGATTTTTTTTCAAGGGTAATAATTTTCGTAAATGACCTGTATCCCCAAGTTTGCGGAATTAATTTTCAGAAATTTCCCCTATTATGTCATTTTCTACCGTATTAAATAGATTTTCAAGGAATTTAATTTCGCAAATCTTAAATAATCCGTGAAATTTGGGAAATTTGTTATCCTTGAAAAAACTGCTATACAGTAATGTGTTAATTATGATTGCATGTGCACACCAATGTAATGACATACGTATGTGTATAGTAACAAGTATAATTAATAGGTGAAACCAAAAGCGACAACACCATAACTGATGATACACTATGCACACCTGAAATATCAGATGAGGCAAGAAAGCATCAATTGGGTTCAAATAATCCCAAACATGAAGATGATCCTCTTGATATCAAAGAAACAAATTTATCAGAGAGAATAAGTAAACAAAATGAGGCAGACATTGAACTGGACCATATTTTAAAGTCAGGTACTTATAAATTAATTAATATAATATCGATTAATATTCTGCTAAGGTCGCATAAGAGGAAGACGGCCACAAATATCAATGAGACACTCGCTTTCATCGGAATTGGTGGAGTCAAATGATTTTTAATGTCCAAATTAAAAAAGACAAAAAGGAATAATGACTTAATGTAATCACTGTTACATGTACTATATATTTCAATTAGTACACACACTATTAATATTATTATGTAGTGTTGTTGTTTATCAATAGTGTTGTCAAGTTGTCCATGTACTTGAATGAACTCATAAAATAGAATTTTATTCGTGGGTTAGTGGCTTACCACAAAATACAAACCAAAAATTAATGAAGTGTCCATTCATTAGGCTTCAACTATTGTAATCAAATAAAGTTCACTTCACATAAGACACAAGGTAAATACTCAGGACAGAGATGTGAGCGAGATCTTATTAATAAATAAGCACTAAGGTGTAATGCTAACTGCATTGTGTAGAAAGATGGTCACATGACTCTCATACAGTTCAGTACAGTAGCATTTATGACATTGTGTAGATTACAATGTTAATAATAACTACAATAAGCACACAGGAAATCAAAATGGCTCCACAAAATTTCCAAAAATTGAAAGCACTAAGGTGCACATATAATCCACATTCAATCTGTAATTAAAAATACATGTAGTTTGCTTATAATTAGGTTTGAGAGAAACAAGCAGTTGGTATTATTTCTTCAATTCTGGAGAAATGCCTTGTGTGACGTATGTGAACTAACTTGAGTTACGTCAAAAGGTGCATAAACTAGAAAGGATTAAATTAATTAATTAAGCTACATGTCACAGAAACTTTCAGACAGATTTTAAATTTTTCAACATAATAATAATAATAATAATAATAATAATAATAATAATAATAATAATAATAATAAAGTGATTAATTGCTTATGTGTATACATACAGTAAATGTAGGAGGACCTCGGATTATGTTGTTCATGCCTAGCTGCTGCAAGAGTAGCGATTATAATACCGTCTATCTGGAAACTTTTACT